GTGTGTTCTGCACTCTTTAAAATATTGATTTCTTAATTTGGGGTTGGAAAAGTGGGGGTTGTCTTGTACATGGGGGCGTCCTATTGATGGAAAAATACAGTATGTTGATCCACTGAATAACATGATTTAAGGGATAATCTACCAAGTAAAAGAAGTCATGTAAATCTAATCTCTATGCTATTACCTAGTACAGTGTAGGCATTTGCTGCTTTTTATAGTCTAATTAAGCATTCTAACTAACTCTTAAACTTGCACATAATTGTAACTTTTTGGCTACTCTTAATAAAATTACTGGGCAACAGTATATCTTACAATGTACCACAGTTACCAAGCTCATTCTGTCTGTTTATACCAGTGTTTCTCAACCTTGGGAACTTTAAGAAGTGTTGAAGTCCACACTTCTTAAAGTTGTCAAGGTTGAGAAACACTGGTCTATACTATTTCATCTCCCTTATACACTTTCATACATTTTCTTATTAGGTGTTTTTTTCCCTATAACATTCATTATAATCTCCCACCTTTTCTCCAATAATCAGAAGTCATAAATCTATGGTTCTTCCCCTTCTCCATTTTACCTTCAAAGTAATGTTAAATATAAGGGAAGAGTTAAAATATGATTTTTGAAACATGGATTATGAACTGAGCTCTATGGGCTATTTTACACCTTGCCCTGTTAGATAAGCTAATAAAGATATTTTACATGCATGCCTAAACATGTAAATGAATGCCACAGCCATGGGAGAGTAACTTTTTTCAGAAAATGGTTCCTTTAATTCTGGTTAATTCTGGTCATGAAGCAGCAATTGGACTTTTAAGTAATGACAGCTTCTAACGTGCCAGGCAACAATGAGAGATACTTGAGAAAATATTCTAGTCAAAATAGACACCCAAAATACCATAAATAAACCATATTACAAATTATTCTTTCTTCCAACATAAAGCTCAGAAAACTAAAGTGCTTGCTTACATGCCTTGCAGTGTCTCGATCTGCTCCTCGGAGCAGCATGACTCGCACTACCTCACTGTGTCCCATCTGAGAGGCTATCCACAATGGAGCTGTCCCATCCTTAAGGAAAATTAAAAAACAGAACAGGATTAATCAAGTGGATTCAAGCAGTGCTAGAAAGTTCTGACAGCTTACTATGAGATTCTGGCTGGAACTCAAGGACAAAATGAACTTGGATATCCAAGTGAAATCCTTCCCTTGGAAAGAAGATAATACTCAGCACAAATGAAAATGCAAATATGCATATACATTAGGGTGCCTTCTAGCTGAAAAAAACTGCATGATAGAGGCAAAATATTGTTGCCTAAATGAAATAAGAGGATCACTCTGTATCATAGTATTTTTCCTTTTAAAACTGCTTGAGACAGATCCAGATTTAGTCATATCTAAGAGAATATGCACTGAAATTAACAACAGTAGTCTTGACTATGGGCTCATCTAGATAGCCAGATGAAAGTGCTATCTACCAGTCCTTGAGCCAATAGAAAAGTATGCCAGCATAAACTGTTTACCCTTGTTGCTAATCCCTATTCTGGCTCACTAACAAGGCCAATAAGGATGCTGTGCTTACTAATTTAATGCAGGCCAATTTAAGGAAAAGAATTAGCGAGTTCCCCTGGCTTTGTTTCCCATCCTCTCTAATGTCTCCTGCTGGTAGAAAAACCATCCACAAATCATTCTCCTTAATATGTGGTGGGGCAGGGTTGGCTACTGTAGCCGGGCGCTTGGAACAGCAAATTTAGACATCCATTAAGCTGCTTCTTTTTCCTGGTGCTTCTTGTGATCGTCTTCCATGTTGATAACTTCTCGAACTATTTCTGAACACTGGTCTAGCACTTTTCTGTCTAGCTGATGGGTCACAGGCAGGGAAGAGGGATTGCGAGGCATGGGATGAAGGAGCAAGGGATAATTTATAATGACAAAGCCCTATCCTCAGCTAGTGCTGCAACAGATTGCCAGTGCTGGAAGCAGCTGACCAAGGAGTCCAGTTCTGATCTTGTGGTCACCTGGAAGTAGCTAGTAGATGGCCATGGGAGACATGCAATTGTGATTTGCCGATGTACAATAACCCAATCATTACCATTGCACCTAATACCACCAAACCTGGGGTGGAGTTGACACAATGGCACACCCTCACACTCCCTGAGAGTGATACAAGTAATTGTGTGTTGCAGAAATAGCCACAGGAATTACAATTGTATAATACTGGTTCTGGAGTGTTGACAAGTCAGAGTCACAGTTGTAGTGCATGCATGTGAGGTCCCAGAAATAATAAAAGTACTGCAAACATTAAAAATATGGCAATGCAAAACCCCTAACTGGCAGAAGTTGCAGAAAATCACTCACACAGACAAAAGCGATGGTACTAGCAACAAACAGTTGGCAGAAAACTGACCTATGCAGCAAAAGAGTGCTTATATTTATACAGAGCATGTATAACTTGACAAGCACTACCGAAATTGCCAGCCAGGCATTATGGGCAGATGCCTCTGCAGAAGGCAGGTATCCAGTTTCTCCTGCAGCTCAAGCAAAATTGCCATGGAGGGCAGTTCCAAGCAGCTGGAGGGGAAGGGATGTGTCTGCAGCAGCCCAAAGTGGCGATAAGGGGCTGGGCACATCCTAACCCGACTGTACCAGCAACCCCTTCATCTGCATAGCAAAAGTTATGCCAGGAAAAGAAGGAAAACACTACATTAAAACTGGAACACTTAAAGATGAATTTAAGCTGCTTCAGTTACGGGATGGTATGAATCCTCATGGCAACTTATGAGGATATTGCAGGAAAAAGCTGTTGCCAAAATATGTTTGTGTTGTGGTTAAGGAGACATAAGGAAAAGCCTTATCAACAGACGAGAGCTAAATCTGGATGTTATTCCTTAGTGTTTTAAAGGTGCTATCTGAAAACTAAAAGCTAAAGAAAAATATCAACCTGAGCTTCATCATCCTGAAGCTTCATCATCCTATTTTTTTTTGGGGGGGGGGGTTGACAGAACCCTAGCTGTGCCTTCTCCTATGTCTTCCGTTCCTCTTCTCTAACACTGCTACATGGAGGATACTGGAAGCTTACACATCCATTTTAGGTTAATTGCAGCTTGTTTTGTTTTCAGAACCCAACAATTATTTTATGTATTTAATATTCTTTGGATTATCTCTCTGTTCAATCAGTCTTTGAGATATGTATAAAAAAAGTAATTTAAAAAATAAAACATACAGGAAAATTGAAAACAAGACAATCTGAAAAAGTCACAATGTAATAAAACAAAGGATCAGCAAAACAATAGTGTTATCTTTGACTACTAAAAACTCAGTGGAATAAAAGCTATTAGTCTAATCTCCTAAGGAGGAAAAATAAATTCCACAATGGGAATGCTACTACAAAAAGGCCTCAGTCTTAGGTATCTACCAGTTTCATCTCTTATATGCAACATGGTGGTCTTTCAGATACTTGGCCCCAAACTATTTAGACTTACATAGGCCTAATTTGAGTTATCTTAAAAGCAAACTGGAGAATAAAGCAGCTGGCCAAACAACAAACTGGCTAACCCATTTTGCATTAACTGCTGCATTTGGACACTCTTCAAGAATAGCATCACATGCCTTACAATATGTCATTAAATGTGAGGTGATTAAAGCATGGAATGTGGCAGACAGCTGCACTTCCCCCAATAAAGCTGAGTCACCATCCAAAACTGGGCAAAGACCTCTTGGTAGTTTTGTCACCTTCTCAACCAGAAGCAGTGCTGAATCCAAGAGTGCAGAGTTATTAAACAGTCCTTTAGAAGAAGTACAACACAGTATAGAACAGGTTGATGAAAAAAGCAGGTTTCATATCCATGATTTAAAATTGATTTGTTTGAAAGATACCATAAATATTAACTAAGGGTATGTGAAATGAATAGAAATATAAGGTTAATCACTACAAGAGTTAACTCTGTTTTATATGGCGTCTAATGATGACAAAGGCTCAGTATTTCCACATATAAAAAGAAAATGGAAACCTCCAAGTCAGTTATGATGTGTCACAAGTTGGCAGGTAACAGTAGGCCTACAACCAAGGAGCTAATTTCCAATTACTTTTGGAATGCATTATTTTGAGATTTACTTATCAAGAAATTTATGTCCAGCAGGAAACAAAGATACGCGGTTAGAGGCATCTCGAATCTGTTTGCAAAATATATAAGGAATCTGAATGCACAGAGAACAAAGAAAATAACAACCAAATCATAATAGGAACATAAGTAAATAAAAGATACAATCAAGGTTTTTACACACCTACCTTATGGCATAGACAGGTGGTCCTCGTTTAACAACCACTCATTTAGTGACTGTTTGCACTTATGATGGCATTGAACAAATGGAAGTTATGACCGAACCTCATACTTATGGCTGCTGCAGCGTCCTGCAATCATGTGATCGTGATTTGTGACCTTTCTTGCTGGCTTCCCATAAGCAAAGTCAATGGAGAGGCTGGCAGGAAGTCGGAAGTCGCGGTCATGTGAAGTCCTTGCTTAAAGACCCATGGGGTCCTCATTTAATGATGGCAACCAGGACTGCTGGAACTGCTGTCACTAAGCAGCATGGTCACATGGTTTTACAACTTACAATCACGTCGCTTAATGACAGAGTTTCTGGCCCCAATTAGCATCATTAAATGAGGACTACCTCTAATAGTTTCATATGCTTGGAAAGGAAGAGTTTAAGACTAGAAGGTGGGATCAGATCACATGAATTCATTATTGATTTATTTATACTGGGATATATCCTGAACGTGACTACAACTTTGCTTATGCTATATTATATTTGATATATATCAGGAGTGTAATCAAAGCTGTATAGATAAGCAGTTACATAATATAATTAGTGTTATTATATAGTTTAATCAATAGATGGCACTATACTATTAATATCTAGATGGATATAGTTATATCCAAAATTTTCTGTATTCTGTTCTTGATGGAATGAAACAATAACATTGTTTAGCTTCTTTGAATTAGTATGCATTCTCTAACCTTTCACTGACACAGATCTCCTTCCCTGTTTGGTAGAAATGGATTCTGGGAAATAAAAGATTGGTAGTTCAAAGAAGAACATCTGAGTAACATTATGTTAGCCTTGCAAGGTAGTCTAGACAAGAAGCACAACAAGAAATACTAGCTCTATCTTTATTGTAAGCTTACATTAACAGAATTTTGAAAGACTGAAAGTATTTCTCCCTTCCTTTTCTTTTACTCTCTGAAAAACTAGGGAAAGTCCCTTCTGAAACATTTCCCATGCCCTCCCTCCTTTTGTAGGCTAAGATACCTTTTACACCCTGGTTATCCAGTCTACGGCTGTCCTTCCTGTCTCCCAAGGTCATTCCCACATACTATTACATGTTGCCAAAGATCAGAAGAAAATAAACTACAACTTTGGCAGCCTGCAGAAAGCCTACTATCATGGAAATCCAAGTTTTATCAAATATTAATTTCCATATTAAAGTCAAAACCACCATTGGAATCTGCTGAATATTAAGATGTGGCTGATTAATTTTAGCATGCGATAGATGAAGGGACAATAACAAAACAAAATCTATATCTTAACAACGCTGAATATTACCTGCCTTGGTTGGTTGACCTTTGCTCCTGAAGACAGCAATAACCGAATTAAATCCAGATAGCCTCCTTGAGCAGCCAGGAAAAGTGTAGTAGCTCCATCCTTAATTTAAAGTACACATATAATCAATTAGCTTTTTAGCTAATAAAAATGTCCATAACAGAACCATTGAATGTTTCCTTTCTTCCATTAATCCTCAAGCACAGAAAAATGCTGCTGGTACTTAAGAATCTTTTCCACATCCATTAAACAGCTTCTGCCATTTATGGTACCTCTTTCTGCAACACTGATAAAAGTGAAATACAAAGATGCTCTTTAATTAGTCTGCTTCTAGCTTGAGATGTAATCAATTTAAAGATTAGACTATAAATCTAGCTGCTTTGTGAGTAATTGTTCCAGCAGTGTGTATTTGATGTCTGCCTATAGAGGATCTTTGCCAATCAGAAACCTTTTATCAGCTCAGCTGAATAACAAATGCGACAAATGGTAGTCAGGTTCTTGTTTTTAGGTAACTTCTGTTTATTCATTGCTTTGAAGTACATCAAACCATTTAAAGTCTATCAAGCGCAACTTGATTAAGGATCTCCACTAATTTTCATCAGCTTCTTTACTGAAAGTTTCAAAACAAACTAATTAAAAAAAAGTTTGCACTGAACGATATAAGCTGGTTGTTTGCATATTAATGTTATCTTGCTTTTGTAACTTTATTGATTTAACAAACCATATATTAATGTCTTTAATTTGTTTTTTATTCATAGTTTTATTTATTGCCTTGTCAGTTTTTAAATAACTGATTTTTAAGTGTTTTACTAAATACATACAAATTGAGTATTTGATATGACTTATCCTTCCTGAAAAGAGAAAGAGAATAATTGGAGAAGGATGCGTTTACTCAGTTTCAAAGAAAAGGTAAAAAGTGGAGGAAACAGGAAAGAGAGGTAGCAACATTATAAGAAGATAAGGAAATTCCTGGAATACATTACATATATTATGTTCAGTACAGTACAGTTCTTCCCTGAGTGGCTGAACAAAAACCATGATTTTCAACTGTAGGGCAGACGTTCCATTAGGTTTGTAAACAGAAAATAAACAAATCACAAGTTTCTTCTTAATTTTACTCTACCTATTAATTTCTGTGCATTCCAGCTGAGTCACAAACCAGAGAATGGGGGGGGGGGTGTTGTTTGTTGTTTGTTTTGTAAATTTACTCATCTACCATATGCTGCCAAACCACCTCTCTGCGGTAATTATGGCCTCTATTTTGGTTTGTTGCCGATTCTGGATAAGCAGGCTATGTTAAGCAAAGCAATGAGTAAAACCCTCTGCTTCTCTCCAACTTTCCAGATGTAATCTGCCAGTGGAAAGCCACCTGGCAATCAAGACAGCAATGTAGGGATTGGCAGGTAAGATGCTTAGAGAGGTAATTAATTTTTACAGGTAGCCTCTACTGCTTTACCACATACAACAAGGCAGGAGAGCATACCGGTCAATATTGGGAATGCAGAGGGATAAAGTTGGAGAAGCACTTTCACAAAATCCAGGACCCTGCTTCCCCAACTGTAGAGCAGCTGTCTAGCAAGCTGCAAACACTTGGATTAAAAAAAGAAAAAAATAATGGTGGTAGAGAAGAGTGCCTCAGACCCAAGAGGAAGGGCTACCCCATATCAGCACTAATTGATCAATAGGCAGCAGACTGTTCATATTCTCTACATGTCAACTGACTGCACTAACATAGCATAGTGTATCAGATTTTATGCACCCCACCTGCTTCATGGAGAAAACACTTTAAAACTGGAATAGCCAAGGACAGCTTAAGCCTGACCTTACTCACAGACTACAGACAAGCTGAAGGCAACCTCATGAAGACACAACAAAAGAAAGAGGTTACTATGATATGTTCATACTGTTGTTAGATGTGAGTGTCATGGCTAAGTTAGCGGCTAGAAGATTCCAGCCTAACTTCATGATCTATTCTAAATGGGAGACAGGAATGCCCAGAAACAAACATCAATCACCAACAGATACTGGGATGACTAGAGATAAGGAGCAGTCCAAGTCATCTCTTTGGCACTGCAAAGCACTGCAACAAAGTGCAAAAGGTTTAGTATTTCTTGGAATACAATAATTGTAATCGTTCTTTGCCATATTTGTCCTTGTCTAGGGGGGGGCCGACAATAAGTGGGGAAAATCCTCATGCGTATAAGATGACCTCACACAACCTGCATAATTGTTCCACGCTAAACAGCTCGCTCGCTCTCTTAAAAAACGTTAAGCAAAATCCCTGGCCATTAACAGATTATCCATACTTACTTTAAATAGATGTGTAATAAAGAGTACATTACAAATGAA